GGCTGCAGCCCTTCCTCAACTCTGCCCCAGCTGCCCCAGAGCTTGCCCGGCCATGGAAGCCACCACCTCGCTGCTGGATGCCGCAGCGGTCGGGGACCTGGTGCTGCTGGACCCGCTTACTGAGAAGTCGCTGCTCCACACCCTGCAGGAGCGGTTCCGCCGCAGTGACATCTATGTGGGCACTGGGCTGGGGGCACGGGGTCTGGGATGGGGAGCAGGATATGGGGTCTGGGATGGGGAGCAGGGTACAGGCTTTGGGGTGGGGAGCAGGGGAGAGCACAGGATCTGGGCTGGGTCCTCCCAGCCCAGCACCCACGCCGTCCTGCTTGCCCGCAGACGTACATCGGGAACGTGGTGATCTCAGTGAACCCCTACCGGTCCCTGCCTATCTACACCCCCGAGAAGGTGCAGGAGTACCACAACTGCAACTTCTTTGCTGTGAAGCCCCACATGTGAGCATGGGGAACCTGACAGCCCTGAGGTGCCCTCGGTCCCCCTGGATCCTGCTAAGGGCTTCACTCACGGGCAAGCCCGAGGCTTCAGGGTGTGGGGGAGTCCACTCGGGCGGCCTTAAAGCCACAACGGGGGCTCTTGGCATTTCCTGAAGCCCCTGGACCCCTCCAGCCCCCTTCTAACTCCTCCTCACTGCCCCCAGCTATGCTATCGCTGACGATGCCTACCGCTCGCTCCGGGACCAGGACCGGGACCAGTGCATCCTCATCACTGGCGAGAGCGGGGCCGGCAAGACAGGTAGAGCCGGGGCTGCTGCCAGGCGCTCACAGGGCTGTGAGAGGCTCGCAGGATGGGTGGGCATGGCCCCGGCACCCCCAGCCCTGGCACCCATGGCCCCTCACTCGCAGAGGCCAGCAAGCTGGTGATGTCCTACGTGGCGTCCGTGTGCAGCAAAGGGGAGGAGGTGGACAAGGTGAAGGAGCAGCTCCTGCAGTCCAATCCCGTACTGGAGGGTAAGCACCCGCGCCTCGCACCCTGTGCCCATCCCAGGGCTCAGCACAGCTCCCCCTGGACCACACTGTAACCCCATCCGCCCCCCCGCAGCCTTTGGAAACGCCAAGACTGTCCGCAATGACAACTCCTCCCGATTCGTGAGTGACTGGGGAAGTGGGATGGTGGAGCCGCATCCCGTGGGGCCAGACCCTGCTGGGGCCACGCGGACCCTGATGGGGCTGGAGGCACAGGAGGGGACAGAGACATGGGGAGTGGAGCTGCTGCTCCCCCGCAGGGTCCCCCTGCCCTGACCCCAGCCCCGTCCCTCAGGGCAAGTACATGGACGTGGAGTTTGACTTCAAGGGGGAGCCCCTGGGAGGGGTCATTAGCAACTGTGAGTACCGATCGCCCGTCCCAGGGGGTCCCACCCCACATGCCCCAGTGACACCAACCCCTGCCCGCAGACCTGCTGGAGAAATCCCGCATCGTCCGGCATGTGAAGGGCGAGAGGAACTTCCACATCTTCTACCAGCTCCTGGCCGGGGGCTCAGCGCAGCTGCTCCGTAGGTCCAGGACCCCAGCACGGGGGGTGGAGGGGGGCCGGGAGGGGCCATGGCTGAGCAGCCTCCTCCCCACCCAGAGCAGCAGAAGCTCCGCCAGGACTGCCGGCACTACGGCTACCTGAACCGGGAGAGCTCTGGCCTGCCCGGCGTGGATGACGCGGCCAACTTCCGCGCCATGCAGGTACTGCTGGCTGGGGCCTGGGAGGCCAGGAAGCTGTGACACCCCTCCCTCCAAAACACCCTGGGGCTGTTGCCATCCTCCTGAGCTGCCTCTGTCCCCAGGATGCCATGAGGGTCATAGGCTTCTCGCCCGCCGAGGTGACGGCGCTGCTGGAGGTGACAGCTGTGGTGCTCAAGCTGGGCAACGTGCAGCTGAGCAGCAACTACCAGTCCAGTGGGATGGAGGCCTGCAGCATCGCTGAGCCACAGGGTAGGGACAGGGATAGGGATGGGCCCAGGTGGGTGGGGGGGCCCCTGCTCGGCCTGAGCACCGCCGCCTCCCTGTGCACGGCTGCAGGGGAGCTGCGAGCTGAGCGGGACGGCCCCCGT